GTTTGCAGCTTCCCTCACATTCACGAATCCACTGTAACTAATTCCTGACGCTGGTTTGCTTTTCGTACTTGGGTAGTTCCGTGAACAATGACGGGCGCGCAGCAAAGGTGATCACCGCCCGCATTTCCAAGGCTCGAGCAGCATATTAGATCAACATTCTTTGTTTATATAATTGGTAACATCGAACTTAGTTGCGCTTTAGACGCCAAGTTTTAATTGCAGTAATTGACGAATGACGGGGGCATTCGGTGTGCACGATAGTGGTATGATAATCACCCTTTTGTGCGTCCATTTTTGTTCGGAAGAGGTCTAATCAAACTTAGAGAAAGGTATTTAAACGGACAATGACCCAATAATCAATTTGATTCGCTTAGCACTTAGAAAACAAACTATGTATTTCGAAACCCTTATTGCATTTCTTTTCATGTGATATAAAAACATTTTGGCAAAACACAAATTTCTGCCATCCTAATCTGCGTAACTTTCTCTTGTTTGCCTTTCATTACAATTATTTGGAAATTAGGCATTTTATTGTGAAAATTGAAAGGACACATTGGAAGTCATTTTTTCCCCTGAAAAGTGTTCTTGTCTTTTATATTCTTTGCTAATCTTAAAAGGAATATTAATTATGGACCAATTTAAGTCCAATAGACGCGTAGAACAAATTACACAGAAGAGAATCCTTCTAGTGACCAGAACTGAGGTGAAATGGAGCGTAAATTTTCACCGGCGAAACTGAATTCAATCTACAACAGCAGTAGAATCTCTCTAGACAGAACAACACGAGGAACACGTAATTTTGTGTTTGATTTTCGATCAAACTCAATTAGCTGTTTAATCTCAATAAAGTTTGTCTCCGTATTTGTGAATGGACAATGTGAATTGTGTAGCTCGGTATTGCATGAATTTCCCATATGGTTACTTTATTATCCACTTAAAGTATTTTGCTATTTATTTCCGCACACAGGCTGCGAATGAACAATTCCATATGTACGGTCGGCATTTTACAGTTTGAGTAATGCGTGATATTGTTACTAGAAGGCAAGTCAGCTGGTAAAACGTTTATTAATCCAATTCCTTCATTATTCTGTTGAACCATTCAGTGATTCTTGCGGAGGATAGGGGGACGCTCTTGTTCGTTTGATACCCCAGCAGTCTAAAGTCTCCCGAAAAATCTTGGATTTGAAACGCAGTTCCTGGTCGGTAATGACATTTTCGGGGATACCGAATTTCGCAATCACATTGTCTATAAATATCCGAGCATCCGTTTCTCCTGTTTGACCTGAGGTTGCTAACGCTTCCACCCAGCGAGATACGAGTTCGACCATCACAACAATATACTTTTTGCCTGTTGGACTATTAGGTAGAGGTCCAGATACATCCAGTCCCCTGGTTTGAAGTACTCCCTGGTTGTCTATCAGTTGCATTAGCGGTGTTGACGGCGCCGTATGTTTATTATGTTGGCCATTGAACAAGAACGGATGTATTCAATTATATCTGGACGCATTGTTGGCCAGAACACACGACTTCGTATTGAATCGAGAACTGATTGCCGTCCCATGTGTACTCCATCGTGTGCAAGCTTCCATACCCTTACACGAAGGCCGGCTGGGATGAATGGCAGTCGCCTAAGTCTCAGTCCGTGTTCCATGTCCACTTCAACCACCAAGCTCTCATTGTTCAAATGCAGGCGATCCCAGATCTTCAACAATTCTCCTACTTCTGGTGACGTTTCTTCCGGCTTTGCTTTTGACCGCAGATGTTCACATATGGTTCACACTGGGTCGTGTTCTTTCTGATGTTTATTAAGTTCCACCACCTTCCATCACAATATGAGTGATTGATCAAAAGCAGATTGCGTATGTTTCTCCATCACAGTGGAGTTATAAGCCTGACTGAATTCAATTGGGCAGCATTTCACTATAAATTAACTGATAAAACTGCGCACATGACGGCGCATTTTACCCGAAGTATTTGACTTGAGATATGCATTCTTTAACTTCTCGATAAACATCATGAAGCATCAGATCTGTTTCCCTGGTTTCACAGTAATTGCGTTTGCTTTGCCACCCGGAATAATTTGATTACTTAACATGATACAATTTTCAGATTGTTCTCTCTCGAATGCATTGAGAATATCCTCCCAAGATATTTCAGCTCTTCGAGAGAATGGAGGGGCATTGCATGTGTTAGTTGACATTTGAAGTATTGACCGTTAAATATAAGCTGTGATAAGTCTACGAGAAAATGTTTGGCATTGTTCTGTGTAGATGTCCGAAACTCAGGCACGGTACTTTCTCATCTACTCAGCCTACAAATCGAAAAGCTTTCCTTCGTATGCACTCAGACAACCTATCAATGTTTAGTCCTCGTCAACATCGGCCAAGCAATTTTATGGGGTTCAAAGGGAAGGGTGAATCAGTGATCATAGACCCCCTTTTGGACAGAGTTTTTTGGATATAAAACAAATTTCTGATTGGGGTGGTTAGTCGATGCTACTTCTTTTATTTTATTTTGTGGTTCCCATTCAGATGAACTGTGATAAACTTTATTTTTTCAACTCATCTTGAATAACCTGGGACGGTAAAAACAAGATCAACTGAACGTTATGCGTGCGGAAAGCCATTGGCATGATGGGAAAGATGAGTTACCGGGAACGTTTTTGGGTTTTTATTTATGCTTATTATTTGCAGGGTATTCCGAGGTACTGGCAGCTTGTCCGTTTATGTATAACTTAAAACGCTCCGGAACGCTTTTAACTGATCAATTCTGATTAATATTTGCACGGAATGCGTTCAACAATGGTCATTGCGTAGCTTTATCCGCAATGGTCAATATCTATCCAGGGGAACTTTTGAGTTTACAAAGAATTGTGAGATGTCTGATCTCCGGAACTATTGTTCCCAGAATCAACTAAAGTCCAAAGTCACAGGCTTGGATCGGAATGTCGTTTTCTATCCAACTTGGCCATATTTCGGATTGTTATCTTGTAGTAACTTTTTATTCAATTTCCGCTTTGCCCAAGATGCATTTGAGTAAACATGTCGACATTATTTAGAAGACCGGAATGCGCATTCTTTCGAATCATTAATTGTTCAATTTCTAGATGAAATGCACAACGGAATCAATCTTCTAACCCAACTGACTATTTGACAAGCACGAATTATAAACTGCCTCAACCAAATCCTTGATGCGGATTGCATCATACATAGAACCATGTGAACATTAATCATTAATTTTCATGTTTTTCATCACTCACGATTTACGCAGTTTCATGTTTGTTTATTGCTATTGTTTGAGAATTCACAGATAAAATTGTCATGGGAAAATAAAATAAAATAAAAACAGATTACTAAAACCAGTTTCATCGTGAGACCGGAAATCGGGTTCACGATCACATGTTTGTTTGTCCACTCATCCGACCATCGAGATTACTCACGATGTGGTTTGTATGGGAGGTGGGCCAAGGAAGCTTTAGCGCTTGCACAAATTGTTTTTTGGGCACACAGAGGGGGTTCGTGCAGACGAATGCCTACCGCTTCTGCCGTAGCCAACATCCGACAGCGAACCTGCCTCGATAATCACCCGCGAACTTTGTGCAGAGGTCGGAAAGCCTCGCACACGTTCACGGTATGATTTGTCTCAGCTAGGTGTGAAACCACTGCACTGGTGAGTGACTTAATCGTTCCGGTGTTCAACCACGCAGGGTGGTGTTCACGAATCCGTTCGGACAATCGCCTGACCGTGCGGCCTATGTACGTTGTTCCACAGGAACAAGTAAATGAGTATACACCGAATGAAACCGCAGAGTCTGGAACTTTGTCCTTCAGTCGCAAACACACAATTGGCCTGGACGTGAACAGCACACGGAGCATAGAAAGACTTATCGATTGCGTCAGATGATCTTCTTTGTATTATCTCGGCTGATGTGTCCCCTTTGAACGGTAAAGAAATGCACACGGATTTTTTCTTAACCTCGGTGTTTTGTAAAGTTTTCTGTGCACTGAATCATTTTGTTTCAGTGATTCAGTGCACGGAAAACTCTTTAGAAAACACTGAGTTGAAGTCACTCACCAGTGCAGTGGTTTCACACCTAGCTGAAACAAATCATACCGTGAGCGTGTGCGAGGCTTTCGGACCCCTGTACAAAGTTCGTGGGCGATTATCGAGGCAGGTTCGCTGTCGGATGTTGGCTACGGCAGAAGCGGTAGGCATTCGTCTGCACGAACCCCCTCTGTGTGCCCAAAAAACAATTTGTGCAAGCGCTAAAGCTTCCTTGGCCCACCTCCCATACAAACCACATCGTGAGTAATCTCGATGGTCGGATGAGTGGACAAACAAACATGTGATCGTGAACCCGATTTCCGGTCTCACGATGAAACTGGTTTTAGTAATCTGTTTTTATTTTATTTTATTTTCCCATGACAATTTTATTTCCATGTGGTGAGATGTATTGAGATGTATTGGCATGAATACGAATTTCTGAAAACGAGCTTGTTCACCACTGCTGTTTTGTTTGATATGTGCTCTGTGGCTTTTTTTCAACAATTCACAGATACAAGACCTGTATATTGTTTTAGCGTGGTCTTATTTTATGAGAGCTCATGTAATCACCAGAAGCCCCATGCATTCTCATAAGCAATAGTCTGTGAATTCTTCTCTTTACTACTTAACAACAGTGCGTATTGTCTTTGTGTCTCTCCAGCTACTCGAGTTGCCGAGTTTGGGTTCTAAGATACTGGACACCTAATGGCTAACCGAGACAGGGATAGGTTATCAGTTTTTGTCGTGTAACGTTTCTCGTTAGGGTACAAGTAACTAGGATGACAAAGTTTTCCTTCGAGTGGTTATTCACTTTCTATGTATGACAATGTGGAATTCACCATCGGTAAACAGATTCTCACCATTTCTTTACAGATAGTAATACCTCCATACAAATCACCACCGACGGTGTTGAAAAATTTGTGCACAGGTCAAGTGGAGGCGTTCCAGTGCAACGAATGCAAAAGCGACCGTGTACTCGTTGCCAGTTTAGCTTTTCTACCCACCGATACCCATGGAACAGGAAGCCCATTCACAAAAATGTGCCCCGAACAGTTTCATTAGTTGCACATCACTTGAATGCTGATCATCCCAATGGTGTTGAGCCTTCCACATTTGTCACAATCAGTGGGCACTCGGTTCATTTGGAATGTGTACCGAATTCAGAAGGTCGACAGGAACCACCGTGTATTCTTAAGTCATCTGAGGTCGCCGTCTTCGACGAACGGAAACATTCGTTGCGGGACGAGAAAGAAGCGAATCAGATGAGTGATAATTTGAAGGAACTCACATTTGAAACCGGTGAATTCGCTTATCTGCCCTGTAGAACACTTGGAGCTGGAGAAGAAGATGTAAGTATCCGGACATGGATGAAAGTGTCCCCCATAATGGATGAATCATAGTGACAAATTCATAATAATCACTTCCCCTTTATTATTTCCAAGTAGCTAACTATCATTTATTTTCTATCCAACTCAGTTTGCGGGTTTGATATTTGCCGTAAACTATCCATTCGGTGGTAACAATTTAGTACGGGTAGCAATAGTTCAACAGTAGTTCCAATTTAACTCATTGTCTCCGGGTTTTTTATTTTAATACCATACCATACCGTATTTTCAAACATATTTGTGGTCTCTATAAAATGCAGATTAAAAATTGCTGTACCTTTAACTATATCGAAGGATCAATAATACTAATAACAATAATAATATCCAAAATGAATACAACCCCCCAAATGCACTGATTTCATCACAAAAGTTGTCTCAAATCACTGACCGTTTTCGGATATTGTCGCTAAACAGACTTGGCACAACTGTGATAGAGGATCCCTCGAGGATGGTCCTTTGACCAACCCTGAAATCGAGAAAACGCGCAAACAACCGTGGAAAGAGGCATCCAATGGATCAAGCACACGACTGACATTTTACAAGACCGCAGATCTCGTGCGGTTAACCTCAATAATAGAAGTAAAATAAAAAAGTGATTTAAATCGTAAAACTCTTGATAAAATCAATTGGGCCGGGTGTGCTTCACTTGGTCCTCATTGCGATACAATGCATTCAACTGCTTTGATAGAATAAGTGAATAGGTGTCACTCTCCGCGTTCACCCGTTCCATCTATAACTGCGATATTAGATTGAACTCAGAGAGAATCACTTTTCATAGGATAAAACTTAATTCTAATAAATGTTTCTAATCAAAGGTTAAATAGGACGCAGTAGTACTTGGGATCGCGCTTTTATCCTCCATGCGATCTGCTTCCATTAGGCAGCTTTTATTTAGTGTTTAACCGGGTTTGGTTGAACCAAGGATTTTGCAGTCCAATTGTTGGTATACATAATAATAAACTGAAACATTTGGGTGATTAGATTTAGGTAGCGATAAACTGCCATTTTGAGTGCTCTCTTCCGCTGGCCAGATACCGATCAACTTGGATTTGACAAAACTTGTGAATGGACGTGAGACAAAAGCAAACAAACCATGAACGGAATAAATCAACAACTGTAACTGGATCTGACTGAGTCAGTAACAAATCCCGTGATTTTAATAATGGCTGGGAACTTTTGTGATAGTGTGATAAGATAGACCTGATCACGTGGTTGGTAAGGGTCGTCGTTTCTCCGGAACTCGTACCTCCTTGTTTCAACCTGCTGCTGCCTCAGTGCTTCCAGATGTGATTAGATCGGTGCATCACTTGTGCTCCACCGGATCATAATCTAATTTGTGGACTCGATAAGCGATCACCGTCACTAACACGCTGGCTTTGATCTGCGAAGTGGATTTAACTCAAGTTTGAAGGGAAAAAGAAATCATCAGCATCAACATTCTACAGCGTAATACAGTAAAAGGAACTTCACAGATCGATGCCAAACTCATATTGCATACAAGGTAAGTGAGAATGTGTAATGAGGATAGGAATTCGGCTTAATTTTAGGGACGGGAAAGAAAGCGAACCTCTATGGTCAACAAACAGAGTACACAGTTCAAGTGTGCATACATGCTATTTTACGCGTTCTGGTCTGATAAGAAGTGACAGCATGAGCGCCGTTGCTGTCTATTTGCCGTCATATCCTTCCATGTCTCCAACCAACCGGTTGTGGAGTCTTTCGGACCCCAACCTGGTAGGCGAGAGACACCTACTCTACCTAATTGGTCCATGCATTTCTTTATGTCTCCTCTCCACGTCATATGCTGGCCTCCATATAGATTTCTTCAGCCTGCAACAGCCACCGCGAATAAGCCGCGCTGCGAGAGGCGACTGTCGGACATACGCAAAACGTGTCCTAACCAACGGAGTCTATTAAACTGGATTTGATGAGATAGCGAGTTTTTGTTTGATATATTCCCAAACACCGGGCAACTTAATTCTAAGTTACTAATCCACTCACTCTATCCTACTTAGGCCAGACTACCTAAGCATCGATTATCTAAAACCTCAAGGCGACGGATGTCTGCTACCAGCAAATTCCAGGTCTCACAACCGTAAGGCAGAACTGATCACACAATGGCACAGTATACGCGACTTTTCAATTTCAACGAAACGTCACGTCGCCGCCACAGGCGTTTTAGTCCTGCGTAGGCTGCTCTAGCCTTGGAACTGCGGACGGTTATCTCCTTTGATACGCTACCGGCGTTGATCACGCACCTACCCAAATACGAGAAGCAGTCACCTTCAGCTAATTCCTGACCGCCTAGTTTCATAACAGACCTCGGCGAAACCCAGTCTTGTAGCATCACTTTGCACTTAGGAGGTGCAAGGCAAATGCCAAACGAAGCGACAGAATTGATAATCCATCAAGTGCTCTTTGTGCATTCTCCATAAATTCGAACAAACAGACTATGTTGTCAGTATACTCCAAATTGCTCAGTTTTTTATTAGCTGTCTATTCAATACCTAAATTTTGGAGACCACTTAGTGCGTTCTCTAATATTTTGTGCTTAATCTGAGAGTTGGAAAGGTTTGCCCTTCATTTTGACGGACGTCACCATTTAAATAATAACGTTTATAAATCCTGTCCGTTTAACTTGTATTGCTTATGTAACGCGTATATTAAATCAAGGTTTTCTTTAACTATCTGGAGATTGAACGTTCGTAATCTACGGTATCAAGTTATCCGGTGAAATCCTTGTCGAACTTTCTCAGCACTACTTGCTGATAGACATATTACAAGAACACATTATTTCTATTATTTCTATTTTGGTATGTATATCAGTGATGAACATAATATTGATGTAATATTCATTCATTTTCAAAATATTATTGAAGTGAATTTCAAATATATATTACATATAAAAATGTAGAGAATTCACTCTGTTGTGGTCCTTCCATTCTGCGTAAAATCTGCAACAAAACCGCAGGTTCAGACACACGGTCCACAATGCCCTCCATTCTCTTAATAACACAGACTGGGAACACGTTCACACGATCATAGAAGTGATGTAATACTCATCAATTTCAAATTCTATCACGTGCTTCATTGATGCATGCCAGTGATTCGTGTCCTCAACCAGTTCCAGTGATGCAGAATAGAACAATCTACTTTACAACTGACTATGTTAACCTTAAGTGTCTAGACAAAATTAAGAAAGTTGAGGCACTTTGAGACTTTACTGATCATCATTGATTGATTGACCACCTGGTGGTGAGAACTCGACGGAGCGAAAACGTGACACACACGCAGACACCCTGGGTGCACTAGAATCAGCAACAACAACAACTTATTGCAGCGTGAAATACAATCTGTCAAATCCGTCAATACCGGTAGACAAAAATCCATTGAAAATATGTCATCATGGGACTCGAATGAGATGGAAGGTGTGGGTCTGATTAATGGTTCCCGTGACATAACACCTTAACTCGGCACTTCTGAATATTGGGGAATTTCGCAATTTTTGCAATGTGGGACTAAACTTTTCTAGCCAGAGATAATTCGTATTACTTATATTTTCAATAAAGTGGGGCAGCACATTTTCAAACGCATTGAAACTTATTGCAGTAGTAACAGAAACCCCTCCGAACCGTGTGAGCGGCCAGCGGGCGCGGCATTCGACCACTTTCATGGTATGAAGTGATTTAACCAGCTACATACAGCGTGGGGGGACATTTGTGCAAGTAGAACGCTGCATGATCAACAGAACAGTGTACTCTGTATAATCCGCTTATGGATAATTCACGAAATCTCAGATAACAAACAGACTTCATTTCAGTTTATAGACATTTTATCACTCCTTGGTGGCATAGATCTTTCGGGGCCGTTGAAAGCATGACCAAGATAAATCAGACGCGCGCTTGTTGTGGGCATCCCTGTCTGCATTGTTTACGGCTGATTTCGGTTTCGCATGGTGCTACTTAATGCAACCCATTAACACACCGATCCCAACTCAAGTAGGCATATCAACATATGGGCTAATGCCTGAGGTTCCGCTCATGATAGGTCCCCTTTCCACTTAGCCGAAGTCTACCAGAGCAACCCTAGAGTAAAACACGTTGTTTAAGCCTGGGTTTTAACAAGTTTTCGGCAATCTTAAATGGTCAGAAATACGATTATGATATTGTTGTTCAATGGGTAGAGCCTGTGTAGCAGAAGAAGATAGTCGGTGTCTGCGCCTGGGTGCAAATCGCCCAAGTTCTTGATTTTGTACAGATTAGTTCCAATAAACTTATTCAGATAGGGCGCGTGTCTCTTCGATCGCGTCACGTTAAGATATCCGAAAGCAATCAGTTATTTATCTGTCTAAAATGATTTAGGTCTGATCGAGCAAAACGCAGGTTAAGAAACTAAACTAAAAACAATTTTTCTCTGAATGGTATTGAGTTAATATGAGATATCGTATTCATTTTCTATGATTATCAAGGAACGGAAAGTGTTTTTGTAAACAAATTTGTCAACAGATTATCTGAATGTGAGTTCCAGATTGCGATTTGGACAAAGCAACCGATCAATTGGATTGGAATACATCACTTCTGCTACCCCACTTCTTAAATCAAAGAAGGCACTTTTATGTATGATATAAATTAGTAAATTTTAATGAACTGAGACAAAACAAGAATGACTGAAATTATTTTCTACGTCACTAAGTACTTGAAATGCGCGTGCACATTACTGATTGAGATTGAATAAGGAAAGCTTTTGTTTACTTTCAAGTAGCTAATACTTTCATCCACAGATCAGTTACGGCAATAAACACAATACTAAAGCAAATAACGACAGGAATAAGTCACCTGGATTACGCATAGATCACCAACGTGGACAAATATAGTTCACGAACTGTGTTTAACACACATCTTTTGGTCAGTTCGGCAAAATGTGATACAACCGAATCCAACAAGAGCCCCGACAGCTGCGAATAG